CACGCCACCTGTGGCGCTATATAGAGTTGGGGAGCTCGGTTTGGGCGATTTTCAAATGCAAATTTTACCACACAACTTGGGGTAAGTGTTCTTGACTCCCTTGTGATTATATTTCATGAATCTATGGTTATATTCATCGTTTAATTCAAGTTTTGATGGAAGAAATTGAGATTTTTGCAAAATCTTTCAAAAACGAAAAATTTTAAATTTGGAGGTCGATTCTTTATCGGAATTTGATAAAATTGGTATGGTTGAACTCGCATCGGAATGGGTATTCGGATTTCATAAAAATTCTGTCGGGTTCCGAGAGACGGGCCCCGCGTTGACTTTTGATTGACTTTTTAATGTAAAATTTTGAGTCGATGTTATATTACCCGGAATTGTTTTCGATGAATTTTAATGAAGTTATACAATTAATTTGGATAGATTTGAGTTATCCGGAGGTCAATTCAAGCAAGAAGGATATTTTGAAATATCAACCTAACTTAAAAAATATAAATATCTTGCCTAACCTTGAGTGGGGGAATTACCCCTTAGGCATTGAGTCTTATGTGGAAATTGTGTAATTGAAAATCATATACGTGAGGTGACGAGTACGTACTTGATTTATATGTGCAAATTATATCGGTTGAAACTCGTAGACGCCCTTATGTATTAAATTAGAAAATTGTTGGAACTTAGTAAATCCTTGATTTGTCATGCCTCATTCCTTGTTTGTCGAGTTTGTATTTTATATGATAATTTAGTGTGATTGCCACTTGGATTTTTATGAGAATTCCGTGTGTTTGCTGATTTGATATTTCTTGGAAATAATCACATTATGGATTTTTTATCTGCAAATAATTAATTAAATAAGTTAAAATTGAGAAGTTTATATATTTATCTAAAATTTGGATTAAAGAAGGCGTTGTCCTATGATGAGTTATTTTTCCATCCTTGTGGTTGTTTTTGAAATTTTATATACACTGTGTTAAGCCGTATACTATCTGTTGTGAAATTAATTGACTTTGTTGTACCTTTGAAATGGTTGTGGCCTACGGGCAATTTATAAATACAAGTTGATGATGTTGTGATAATATTTTGTATGAATTGTTGTGTGATTTGGGTTACTGTTATGCGGCGTATAAGAGTGGCATTCTATTATTGACATTATGTGGGCGTAATGGTGGTATTTCACCGCTGTTATGTGTGTTGAATATTGTCTAGGCATAGTGATAAGGGAGACTATTAAACGGAGCGATAAGGGAGGCTATTATAGGAGCGATAAGGGTGGCTATTGATATTGTCAGGGCGTAGGGATAAGAAAGGTTATTATAGGAGTGATAAGGGTGGCTATAGGAGAGATAAAAGTAGCTATTGTCAGGGATGATATGTGGTGATGTGGGGTTATTGTGTTGGTAATTTTTATGTGGTGATGTGGGGTTATTGCGCTGGTAATTTTCATGTGATGTTGTAATTTTCCTTGTGTTTATTTTTATATCTTGTGCAACTTGTCTTGTTGTTTCAGTAAACTTGATAATAGTCTGATCTATGTTGAAATTGTGAGCCTGTGGCCAGTGCAAAGTGGATTATGTTATATGGGATCGGGTTGCACGCCGCAACAGGTATGATTAATGTTATATGGGATCCGGTTTCACGCCGCAACAGGTATGATTAATGTTGTATGGGATCAGGTTGCACGCCGCAACAAATATGAAATATGGGCACGAGGTGCCGGGGTTAAACATGATGATTTTTATTATTGGCACGTGAGTTGTTCGTGCGGTTTTGATAGAAATATAGGCAAGAGGTGCAGTGGAAACATGAAAGTGGGCTGAGACCCGTGTTACGAAAATATGAAAGTGGGCTGAGACCCGTGTTACGAAAATATAAAAGTTGGCTGAGACCCATGTTATGAAAATATGAAAGGGGGATGAGACCCGTGTTACGAAAATATGAAAGTGGGTTGAGACCCGTGTTTTATGATTATGAAATAAGATGTCACAGAGTGACTTTTATTTGAAAGAATTATATGTGAAAGATTTATATTTGAAGGAATTGATTAATTGATTGTACTGGTATTTCTTATTCGTTTGAGCAATAATTATGGTGTTCTTGTTGCCTTGCTGTTTATATCACTAGTTTATTTTTATTGCTATCATTGCTAGTTATTTTTCAGTACTGTTGTATACTGCTATATTGCACAGATTATTTGACTAGTGAGTGTCTTGATTGTACCTCGTCACTACTCCACCGAGGTTAGTCTTGATACTTACTGGGTACTGACTATGGTGTACTTATACTATACTTCTGCACATTTTTGTGCAGAGTCAGGTATTGGAGATATCGAACTCGGACAGGGTTAGTGTGTTGATCGCAAGGATTCAAGGTAGAGCTGCTTGGTCGTCGTAGTCCCTTGGAGTCTTTCCATTTTATTGTACTGTCAACTCTTATTCGAACAATATTGTATATTCGATCCTTGAGATCATTGCATGTATTTAGTTAGAGTTCGTGACTCAGTATTACCAGTCCTGAGAGGTTCTTATATTTGTTTCCGCTTTTGATTTCGACACTTGTATTAAATTATACGTTTAAAAAAAAAAGAGGCTCGAAATGTAATTGTAATCGGCTTACCTAGTCTTAGAGACTAAGTACCATCACGATGCCTATAGTGGGATTTTGGATCGTGACAGATCGTGAGTACTTCGGATGTTGTAATTCTCTTCCGAGCAACTACCATAATTTACTAGACGTATTCTTTCGAACTATGCTAGCTGGCTCTAGTTCACCGTTCATCAAGATCGCACCAAGATTTCGTTATTCCTAATCCCACCTTTAAACCCTTCGTATTGATTCCTCACATACGTTAGGAGTGATGTTGTTCAACAACTACCTGAATATGTACCCTTTTTCAAGCAATACACACTAAATATGGACATTCAATTGAGATCTTTTCAATCAACCACAATGAAAACGTAGTTAAACAAGTAGAGAAAAATCAAAAGCAAATTTATATTAAATGTAGTAGAAAATCATCCTCCAATAGGTTCAATCAAACCCTAGATTGAAAAGTTTAGCTACTCATAACCATACTAACAATCATGATAATAATTGAAAGTATTAAAATACATATTAAGGAAGAATAGAAGAGAACACTCGTGTGATTCGGTGCTTCCAAGTGTTCCATAGCCTTTTGCCTCTCCAATAATGTCTTTCCCCTAAAAACTAAGTTTAGGAGGTATTTATAAGGTAGAGTTGAGGTACACGTCCAAACATAATGAGGAAATAAAAGTTGCTCAGATAAGCATCGTCGGCGCGGGACATTGTCAGAGGCGTCACCATCATCCCGCGGGGCGCCATCAGAGGCGCCAACATTACCTCGCGAGGCGCCAATGACAATGCCCTGGACAAAGCCTTGCACTGTCTAAGACTATGACTTTCCATTGCCTTACAACGTCTTCTTTTATTGTTTTATTTTGTAGCTTCGAAGTACCATTTTGTCCAACTTTTCTCCACTTCATATCCAAACGTTCCTACACGTAAAATAAATTCAATTAAGCTCAATTGTCGCCCAAATTAGCTTCCAAACAACAAACAATTAAGGTGAATAACATCAAAATATATGAAATTATAGCACGACATCAGTCGTTTAAAAACCTTGACGCGTCTCAATGTTTGAGTGTTCTTATCTTTTTTCTTTTCTTTTTTAAGAATTCCTTAACCTTCACATTTATGTTTTACAAACTCTTGTGAGAATTGACATGATCATGTGCTGATGACCAGTAGACTAATTTTATATTTATTTGTTTTTATACTAATATATATTTACTTTATATGTCAAAAATCTTCTTTCTTTTTTTTAAACTCTATATATCAAGTCAAATGTCGACATATAGATTAGTAATAGTTAAGTGATTTTATATACTGTGTTCAAGAATTGAGAAAGATTTTTGACGTATAAAAGAGCACTTAACTATATATCCCGAGATTAGCCACCGTGTAAAAACCAATATAGGAGTACGAATTTATCTCTCTCTCTAATTAGCATTTACTTATAAGGTCGTCCTTAATTTGAAGGTCACTGTTGGCACCGTGTACTAGTACATAAGAAGAAAGAGCACAAATTACTTTGCAAGCAATTATAGCACAACAAAGGAATATACTAGGACTAGGGGTCGCAAATGGACGGGTCAGGTCGGATATGGACGGGTCGAAACGGTAATATAAAAAATGGATAAATTATCCGATCCCACCCATACTTAATACAGATAAAAAATGGATTAACCGGCGGATAATACGGATATCCATATTATCCATGGCTTCTTGAATATGATCATTTTTAGGAGAATTCCTAGTCTCCCAAGCTTGAAAACTCCCCATTTGAGGCTTTACATATGTAAAAGTTAAACTCATTAGTTATCCATTTTCTAAATGGATAATATGGTTCTTATCCATATTTGACCCGTTTTTAAAAAAGTTCATTACCCAACCCATTTTTAACGGATAATATGGGTGGATAAGTATTTTTTTTTAACCATTTTGCCACTACTGATTAACTAGGACTAACAGAATTGTCAAAATTATTTGAAAGTCTGGATGGTACTGCAGGCAGAGTGGATATATGAATTGCCGCAACTCATAAATCGAAGTTATGTAAAGGCATTAGAATACTTTTGCATGATACAATTTTTTTCTTTATTAAGTTGGCTAATAGGATCAATAGTTCTTATTAAGCTTTTACTTTAAAAAATTATTTTATAACTCATCACATAGTTTAATGTAATTTTTTCAAATTTTATATTCATTGATATGAAGCGTTGTGCGTACTCTAAAGCTAGTATATTCTAAATATTTGTGTACACATAAACATTCGGATACACCAAACTTGTCATTCTTTCTGAGACAGGACTGCAAGTAAGATTGGGCCATTGTTGTTAAGAGTTGGGCTCATAAAGGTAACTTCAGCAATTGGGGTCAATATGCAACGCCCTAATTTGAGCCCGATTATAAAATGGAAAACGGAGATCCGGGGTTTCAATTAGGGAAAACAAAGCGGGTAAGAGAAGAGTGCGCCGCAAAATGCAGATCTTCGTGAAAACCCTAACCGGGAAGACAATCACGCTCGAGGTTGAATCGAGCGACACCATTGACAATGTCAAAGCTAAGATTCAAGACAAAGAAGGTACTTACGATTGATCGTTATTCTCCGTCATCTCTTTGTTCTCTGTATCGCTAATTTGTTTTTGACGTCATTTGATTTTCATTTTAAGGTATTCCACCGGACCAGCAGCGGTTGATCTTCGCCGGAAAGCAGCTCGAAGATGGACGTACTCTTGCTGATTATAACATCCAGAAAGGTAATTATAGTAACGCTAATATGTACGTGGAAACAGTGTAACGTTAGTTATATCTGTTTTATGATTTTAGTGTTGATCATCGGGTCAATTTTGTAGAGTCAACTTTGCATTTGGTTTTGAGGCTTCGTGGAGGGATTATTGAGCCTTCTCTGATGGCTTTGGCTAGGAAGTACAACCAGGATAAGATGATTTGTCGCAAGTAAGATTTTTTACGACTGCCTTTCGCTTTTGTATGAAGTAATTGTGGTGTCTTCCACAGTGCATGCATGTATTCTATGTGATAGTGGTTTCCTATGTATGAAAAGTCATTTGATGCATTGGAAATTCATAAGAAATGTATGAAAAGTTATCATGTTGTATTTTCCTTTCATGTTAGACTAAATTACTTTGATCCCTATTTGGAAGTTAATTCTGATTAGGCTATTCAAATAGCATATCTGTTGAGCTGAGTTATGATATGACTATTAGCTGCAGCCTCTAGTAAGAACATTAGGATTTCTCTCTTGTAAAGCTCACAGCAGCAACCTCAAATTCTCTATGACTAAGTAGCTTTTCTACTCTTACTCCCTCCGTTCCAGTTTATGTGAACCTATTTCCTATTTGGTCCGTTCAAAAAAGAATGACCCCTTTCTAAATTTGGGATTTAGCTTAAACTTTCAATTTTACCCTTAATGAGAAGCTTTTACAGCCACACCACACATACTCTGGATCCCTTTTTGACTTGTTTAGGACCACAAATTCCAAAAGTCTACATTTTTTCTTAAACTCTGTGCCCAGTCAAACAGGTTCACATAAATTGGAACAGAGAGAGTATTAGTTTTATTAATGCCATTGAAGAACTTTGTTTTGCTAGATGTGTGCTGTTCAAGTGAAAAGAAATGTCATGATACAGAAGCAAAGGAAAAAAACTGACTATTACAATGGTTGTCTCTTATTAGACCATTGATTCGACAGTGCATCTCATTGTATTTGTCTTTTATAACTAAAAAAGGTTTACGTGTAGAATTTATGTCATTGGGGTTGCCGAGTATAATACATTTAAAGATTGATAGTTTTGACATTCTTTGACCAGCTACATCATCAGTTCTGTCCTCCTGTCAACCTTTTAGTTGGTTAAGATAGTGTGGACAGTTAGATTCTCTTGAACAATGTGTCTCAAGATTCATAGAGTTGTTACTTTTAATTAATATAGCCTTTGGAAGTTAAGTTTCGTGGATCAGTTGTCATTGTTTGACAATAGTGCAGCTTTTGAAAACTTTTAGCAGGTTAAGTTTGAGACCCGTCTTACCTCCATAATTATGAGGCTAAAGTTTCTATTTCCCCTCTTAGACCTCTACCTTATGGCACAACTTTTTCTTGTGCGGCTTATGTTATAAACCTTGACGGTGATTACTTAATCCTGATACCTGGCCACTTGTTTTAGGTGCTATGCTCGCCTGCATCCTCGTGCTGTCAACTGCAGGAAGAAAAAATGTGGGCACAGCAACCAGGTTTGTGGATGATAGGTTTATGTTACACTTCCTTTGCTTCCCGAGTTTTGATTATGGCACTCACGAACTTTTCTTGCTTTGCAGCTGAGGCCAAAGAAGAAGATCAAGTAGGCGTGATGTCTTTTTTAAGTTCAGATCAATTTTGTGCATTGCAGTTATATTGCCAGTCCGTTGTTTTTACAGTTTTCAGTCCTGCTTCAACTTGATGTCATGGATAGACTACCCATTTGTCTCAAACATCTAATTATTGGATAAGATATCTTTGTGCATTCAATATATGCCTGTTTAGATGAAGTTTACAATGTTCTTCCTGATAAGAAAGCCTGCAGCCTGCAGTTGCATGATTCCATAATCATAATGGTTCATTTGAGAATGTGATGCCATAGCTCGTGCTACTGTAATGCTGCTTTATTTATTTTTTTCTTGATGCTTTTCGGGATATGCCACATTATTGTCCAAAATCCAAACGTTGTTTGAATAGAAAGCCATAACTCAAACTAGTACTTTAGTTAGGATTTAGGTTATAGTGTAATGTTGATTCTTGGAGGAATTGAAGGATTACACTAATTCTGTCACAGTTTACTTCGGTACGACATTTCAAATATAAAATTAGTATTGTTTAAGATTAATTTAACCCACGTGTCGAAGTTTTTAGTTTTTGACATTTTCATATCTGGGTCATATTACGAATGTTATGTTGGCTTAGATACCGATTTAACAGCCTTGAGAGTCTAGCGAAGTTGGTCACCGTGAGTTTTGTGTTATCGCTATTTTCTTATTAATTCATTTCATGTTATCCTGCGGGTGTTATGTTATCTCTATTTCCGTAGTCCATATCAAATAGAAACACATTTTAATTTTGGAGTAGTTTAAACAAATAGTATTGTTACACATTGTTAAGGCATGTTTAAGATTAACAAATTTAGAAGTCTTTTTATTGCATTTTAAACTTGCGTGTCGAATCAAATTGTCACGTAAGTTGGAAGGAGAGTACTATTTCTTCTATATTTAGTTTTTAAATTAATTAATCGACTATCAAATAATGAATTGGGTCAACTTTAGTTGAGTGGTGCTCTGAAATGGAGTCAAGCTCTAGGCCTGGTCGAAAGGAACATGCCTAACCCAAGATAAAGAGGGCCAGGCGAATGTGAGCGTGAGTTAGCTTGGCATCCTAATGCATCCGAGCTCCACTCGTCATACTTGATGAGATTGGTATACAGAACGTTGCCGATGGAGCTTCGGCTTCTTGAAAGTGCAAAATGGCTCCAGAACTTCCCTTTGATTTTGCCAAGGGAAAAGATGTACATAAACTGTTAGAAATGGGGATTAATTTTTGACCTTTTGTTGCTCAATTGACCATAGCACATACTGAAAGCAAGGACAACAGCAAATATCAAACACTTGCAATGTAACCAGGGCCAAGGTCTAACAGGATAATTCACATGTACTTGGTGAACAATATCTGAAAACGACAGTAGCACTAACTCCTGAATTTCTGAGCCAAAAACAAGCCTTCCTTTAGGCAAGTTGCTGTACACGCGAATGGAAACAACCAAAATGTGATGCAGCATTGTTAGTGTTTTTGCAAAGGTTTGTCACCAATATCTCCTCTATTGCGTGTCTAAAAGTAAGAATTGGTTGCAAAATCAGAGGACTATGGGATTCCAAGGATCAGCCCATCAACATCAACAGGGAGAAGCATCTTTTGCCATAGACAGCTAGTAGAAATGAGCTCCTCCGGCGGAGTAACCACCATGGTATCGCTGCTCCTTTGCAAAATCCCAAATACACTAAGCGAGCTACCTTCCTTTATGTATCTACCAAAAATCCAAAGAATTTCGGGTTATTAGTTTCCCGAAACATGTCTAGCAACAAATTGGAGAAAAAAGCAAACAGAGAAAAGACGAGGCAAAAGCATATCTTACCCTTCTTCTAGACGCAGTAAACGAGCTTCAGATGAAAGATTCCTGTCCCTTAACCATTTTCTCAAATGAGAAGCCAATACCTTACAGTTTTTGGTTGTTGTAACCAGTCTGCTCTCTATGATCAGCGGGATAACTCTGGAGTCGGGTCCAGCCTTGACAAAAGCTCTAATACCAGAGTTCTTGTCAGTTATGTAGAAGTCAGTTGAGAATCTCTGCCAGGAGAAACTCGTCCTGTTAATTAACTCTGTATTGAACTCAAGTGAAGGCACAAAATAACACAATCCGAATAGGGTGCTTTTTATATTGCTTTGGACGGTATCTCTGTAGTGTAGTTACTGCAGTATATAATGTTCATACAAAAGGGACAATGTTTAGCCAAGTTTGAGACATCTGACATCCATAGACCATAATAGCATCATTCAAATAGAAACTAGGATTTAGACATGCAATGATGATTCGGTCTCTTTCAATCTTCGTCCTACTCTACCCTTCTTGGCAAGATAAAACTCCTTTAATCTGATTCGAGCACACCCTGAAATAGACCCTAATGTACTTCGTGGTGCCAAGTAAATATACTTGCTAAGTGTAAAACAGGCCACTTGGGTCTTTTACTACGAGACTAGTGCATATAAGCACCTCAATTATGATTACATCACACTCTCTTTCTATGTTTAATCATCATATAACTGGCGTCTGGTGACCTAGGACGGGATATACTTACAGTGGAATGAAAGATGCTCCTGTATGTGTATGCACACGCACGTATGTACCTGTGAGTGTATGCTTGTCTGTACTTATATATATTTGGGCGTGTGTGGTGCATATATATGTGCATATTATGTGATATATTTTGGTGTCGGGACTAGCTTGTACGCAACTAGACTAATCCATCGGTGCCTGCTAGCTCCCACTAGCACATGCACCAAGTAACTATAGCCGCCAAGCCTTGACAAATTAAAAGAATTCACCTAGCATTGACTCTACTAAGATTCGAACCTTGGACTTCAAATTTGTGACTCCAGCACTTCAGTCAATAGGCCACCCACTTAAACTGAGGGTGCTACAAGTTTCATACAAATTATAAAAATACTATCTAGGTTAATTGGATTAACTTACATTTGATTCATGTTTCGGCAAAAAAGTGAACAGGGTAAACAGGGTAAGCGCCATACTCCGGACCAAAGTTAATCTAGATTGAGTTTGCTCTAGGTACAATGTTTGCACTATACTTTACCTTATATAAAAATAAAAAAAAGGTACAATATTTAGATTAATGTTGATCGGCGTCTCAACTTTTCTTTCCCCACAAGATTTACCGACATGATCCTACTCTCTTATAAAATTCAGATTCTAGATATGCTTTGCTAAAAAGAAACACTTTTGTAGGTTTCAGTGTAACCTATAAAACCTTAAACATCCATTTTCAGACAATGATTCTCTCGTCTATTTTCTTTTTTTAATTATCCCATCCTTGTCGACAGACATATATCACATCCACCTCTAGAAAAAAACTAGCAGCAAAAACATGATGACACGGTGAAAGAGCTTCCTTGACTTAATAATTTAAAAAAGAGGTATTAACAGGGAAATGCGACAATTTCTAGTTCGGGAGGTATGTTCATTGTAGATGGAGAGCATGCTGCTAGGACAAGGAGACTAACCTTGAAGAGAGTGTGGGACTGAAGATATTCAAAAAAGTAATATAGCAACAACTAATCTGAAGGGGTTAGAATCAGATGATGGAGATTCAACATAAAAAGCATTACGGACGATGATGAAAGTGGAAGAAAATGTTACCCGTATACTCTTCTATATGGAATGGAAGATGATTAAGCAATTTGGGTAGTTCTTAGGTGTTATGTGGGTTTGATGAGGAGAAGGTGAGGAGATGGATCAATTTTTAGACAAATATCTTAATCTCATATGCCTTTAATTGGAAGATGAGCAATGAAAAGTTTTACAGGAGGCCTACCATTAAGACCGTCAACGTTATTGTTCTAACTTGGACAATGTTGCCTGCTGAAACTTATTACTGTGCTTTTTTACATCTTCGGATTAGGCAGTGTTGGTAGAAACTTGATCATGCTTCTAACCTATTAAGGATGTGAATCTCTGTTTCTTTGTTCTTCCTCGTAGTTGTGAGTATTCATTTTAATCTGACGAGATTTTAGTGAAGCTAGTTATTTAGATACTTATAGGTTCATGGCTCTAACTAGACTTCTGCTACTGGAATCTTTTTAATTTAACAAATGGGTTGACCTCAATTCACTATTTTTGCTCACGTTGTCTTAACGTAGCTTGTGGCACCTAAACACTGAGGTTTCTGCATGAAGTATGGTTTATCCAAACACTTTGTGCTGACATTTGAAATCAAATAGACAGCTGACAATCCTACATTTGAAAAGATGATTCTCTAGCGAGGAAATATAGCGGAAGTGAAGGGCGAAACTATCTTTTATATATAGTCAAAACATTACATTGAAAGGAAAGAAACATGTTTCAAAATGAGGCGAAGAAGCAAAGTTAAAGTCAAGAAATAGACAGTGAGATCTTGTTCATCAGAATTGTAACAAAACTTGAATTAGAAAATGTTTGTCATTGCTCATGTTGAACTTTCTATCAGAGAATCGCCAAACTGTCAGCATTATCAATAGACAGCTTGTAGCCAAGAAGAAAAGAACGTCACCCAAGAATAGCCAGGATTCTTTTGTGACAAATCGAAAGAGAAAACATGATACATTGAATTTCATTCTATGATTAACATCATCGCCAACAGGTAGAAAGGTGGAATACTTTAGTATTACACGAGCAATGTTTCATACCTCAGAATAAGCAAGCCTCCATCCGAAACATGATTCTTTTACATCCACAGGTTTCAGGCCAAGTTCTCCACATTCAAACAACAAGGTGGATGTATAAACACATCGTCCAACCTTCTCATAAGAAGACTCCAAAGATACATTCCCGCAGGAGACATGCTGAAATCATCAAAGAGGAACAAGGTATCTACTGATGTCTGAAGCAATAATAAAAATGCAGAGAAGGGAAGGGAAAGGAATTATGGGGCAATCAATCCAAATAAACACAACAAGCTCATAAATATATAGACTGACTGAACAAGTAATGATCTTTTAGTCAAATATGTTATAATGCACATAGTAAAGCTCTGTGCAAGATTGTCATCTTACTTTCCAGTAGACTATAACTCTAACTACGCTTATATTAATCAGTTCATCACCAAAAATCACCCTAACAAGAGAAGAAAATAATTCAAATGTATATGAATTTTTATTTTTTTTTGCTTCAGATATTTTTGGGACCCAACTCTTCAAGTTAGGATATCCATCACAAGGAAGTAAATGCATATCAATCTTTTCTTGCATTATACGGGGTAGAAGTTACTTGATATTTTCAACAAGCAAACTCCTATAAAATCAGGAGTATTGCAAAAATCAAGAATTACTTCCAAATTTAGCAATCAGCAACGCACACGCATAGGCACTGGGACAGCATTTAGAAAGTTGAAAGCTTTGTTACCATTAGTCATTGCTCAATACAAGAAATAGTTACTTGAAAGAAAGAAAAAACAAAACACCCTTCAAATAAAAAACACAGATAATGCCAAGAAATATTTATAAATAAAAAGAACCCAGATTGAAATGGGTACAAAAGAAGCTTACCCCAGTAATCTTGACGAGCTGACCGTGGCTTGCAATGCTGAGGTTAGAATCTGGAAAAGAACGAAGGTACTGAAGAATGGTACGGTTGTTGCGGAAAGAGAAAGAGTTCCAGAGAAGAAAAGCAGCAATGAGAGCAAAAAGGAAGAGGAAAACAAGAAAGAAGAGAGGGTTGTGAACCACAACAAGGATGAAAAGAGAGACGGCAAGCCCAAACAAGAAAAGGGAGAGCACTACGTATAAAGCAAGTGGGGGAAGAGGAAGTTTGAAGCAATGGGAGTTTTGAGCTACATTTGAATTGGAGTGGGAATGGGAGAGGTTGTTGTGGTTCATCCCTCTCCTTTTTGCTATTCTGCTAATTTGGTAATGTGAAGAAATGGGAAATGGTTAAAAAAGGTGTTAAGCAGAGCAGAGGGTTCAGCTGTCCTTTTCTTTTTGGTTGTCACTTCCCAGTCCCACCCCTTGGGTAAAGAATCTGAGTCACGAACAAAAATGGTGTCTTTCTAGACTCAAATCACAAAATAGGTGAAAACAAAATATGTCAATATCATTTTAAATATAATGCGGTTATTTAGCGCGTTATACCTAAACGGTACGTTTGTCCGTTAAGATATAGCGCGGTCAATACATTAGCTAAATTTGAACTTTAAATTGGCGGAAACTATAGCGCCTCCTATATATGCACTATACCTATATGAAAAAACGGGCTCGTCTCCTTCCCCGACCAGACAAAAGCAGAAAAGCAAAAAACGATCCCCTCCTCCATTTGAGCCCACTCGTCCCAAAAAAATCAAGCTAACACCGGATCCAAGACGTTGTCGTGTAGTGAATCTTGTCTATTGCTCGTTTCGACTCCCATCTCGTCTATTGCTCGTTTCGGCTCCCAAATCATCAATTTTTCATATTTCAAAAAACTTTAAATTAAGGTATTCCGACTTACTTTTTGGTAAAACTCATGTATATAAAATGCTTATTAGTTATTTTTTACGGTGGTCTATGTTTTTTTGCGATCGTTTTGTGATTTAATTAATTTTTTATTTTTTATCCGGATTAGTTTATTTATGTGCTAAAAAATTAGTAAAAAGATATTATTTTATAAATAATTATTGTTATATGTGATTTTATTGTTGTACGTATATTAATATGCGACTTTATTGTTGTTTAGTGCCATTTAGTATTATGTTGTGCCCTTAATTGTTATGTAGTGCCATTTAGCATAATAAAACTGATAATAAATTTTAGCTTATGGTAGTTGACTTTGTTCGTGGCCATTTAGAATAGTGTTACTTTAGTGCTCTTTAAGATTCCGTTGAGTAGAATAAAAACTACGTGCTCTCTTTAACAAACTCTCATTGCGTACTCAATTATGGATTTAATGTATCAGTATATAATTATCAAATATTAGATAGGAATCATAAAATAATCAGTTGCCCAAAAATTTGGGCAAAATATGATAGTTAACAAACAAATCGTTATGAATGAAGTAAATTTAATATTATTTACTATTAAGTTTGTAGTATTTTGTATATGATTAATTATTGAATATATCTTGATTACTTATGAAATTTTAATATATAATTCTGTTATAATTCAAAAATAACTTTAAAAGGATGATAGTTCAAACAAAACCATGCATAATTTTAATAGAAAAATATTGGAAACTAACATATGAAATATTAGTATAGAAAATTTATCAACCTAAATATTTGTTATATGAATAATTACTTAATTATCTTTTTAGTTATTGAAATTAAATATTTAATTCTCTGTTAACCCCAAAATATCTTTAAAAAAGATGATAGTTCAAACACAAACCCTCTCTAATTTTAGTCAACAAATGTAAGAAAATAACATAAAAAATAACAATATAGAAAATCTGTCAAATAAAGTATTTTTATATGAATACTTATTAATTATATCATGTATAGTTATAAAAATTAATTATTTAATTCTATTATACCTAGAAATAGTCGAGTAAGAAGCAAACATATAAAATAATATAAGAAACTAACATGTAAAATAATAATATAGAAAATGTATCAACCTAAGTAATAGTATAAAAAATTATCTATAAAATATTAATATAAAAGACATTGCAATATATTTAAAGATGTTAAACAATTAAACAAAAAAATATTTTAATTAATATTGTTCAATTTATAGACATCGTTATGGAGGTTCCCCCTGTGCATCCCGGACCTGCATCTCGAGAGCTACTATTGCTACAGGGCAACCATAGGTCTTCACACATCTGGGATGGGCAGTGTCTGTCCCAGACATTCCACCCCAAACGTATAGACGATATGTGGGAGTTCATTAGAGACCACCCATTGCATTCTCGTATAGTTAGATGTCTTCAGGGTACGAGTTTCTACAGGATCATAGAGATCGGCTGGTTGCAGTTCGATTAGGCGTTGATCACGACTATGATAGAGCGGTGGCGACCGGAGACGCACACGTTTCATCTACCCAACGGCAAGGCTACTATCACGCTTGAGGACGTGGAGGTTCTTTTCGGGCTGCCTGTTGATGGTATACATGTAGTTACCTGCATGCTCTTAGAGACTATACGGGAATGGATTACCTTCATATGTTGCAGCGGCTCATTGGTTTCCAGCCAGCGGAGCCGACTGCATGGAATGGGGCCAGTCGATTGCAGTTGACTCCCGTTCGGCAGCATATGGTAGCGATGCACGCGGAGATTACTGATGATTCACTGCCAGAGGATATCGACCGGACACGAGATTATTGCTGATGCTGATGTTTTGTGGCATACTGTTCCCGAACACTTCGGGAAACCTAGTCAACTTGCGATTTCTACATCATCTGGAGTGCATATGCATCTGTTCTAGCTTACCTGCATAGGCAGATGTGTCGGGCGTGCATCGGTACCCAGAGAGACATTGCCGGATTTTTACCGCTACTGCAGGTAAAAACATAATCAATTCTTTTCATGATTATAACATACATAATAAAAAATACCTTAAATTTTACGTCCACAATCTATATTAGGTTTGGGCCTGGGAGCGATTCCTGCAGTTCTAGCCACCTCTGCCACTGATTGCTCCGGATGCACCAACTCCACCGTTTCTCCCTTTAGCTTAGAGGTGGGTTGATAGGAGAGGCTACGCCCGTAAAGTCGAGGCTCGATGTCATCTCCCTTATTACAGGGATTTGTTGGATTTACTTGAAGGTACGCATGTACATATATACTTAAGCTTACTTGGCCTGGCTTAATATGTGTTACGTTTACTCACGATTATTATGTTTAATAAATAGTTCATATGGAGAAGGCGACGTGCTCATAGCTGGATTGCTAGATAATTGCTCACGCGATCGAGCTATGTGAAGCTCTTCCGTCCTACTGATATGACTAGATATAATCGAGCATCATGCCACCAAATGAGTCCTTCGCCAGTTTGGTCGCACGCAGCTTATACCTATTTCGACCACTTGGCACAGGACACATTACCAGGGGGATGATCGTTGCAAGGTTGACCAGACATACTTGGACTGGTTAGAGGCCCAGATTGAGGTTTGGGACCAGAGGTATGGCCTGATTCTGCCATACCCACCACCTGACCGTATGGAAGGCGAGCATGAGTACATGGGTTGTATCACAGCGTTACCCGACTTCTCGTCAGGAATCCCGTTCAACGCGCTGGTGGTTGGTATATTCCATACGATGGGAGGATGAGGCACTGGTATGTTATTTGTTATACTTACTTATAACGTTACATTATCGTTCCGTAATTAATATTTTATATGTTATGCAGGCTACTGGCTTACACCAGTTCTACAATTGGGACTGAAGTTGCTACAATATACATGCGAGGGAGCGACAACTTTGCACATGTTTGGCCGTCGGGTTATTGATCTTGCTGCTGACACATTCAGACGTGCCCGAGAGGATGGATGCTTATATTGAGACGTGCCCGAGAAAAATGAAAAATTTCATAGAGACATTGATCATCCTGTTTTCCCAACAATTGTCGAGTGGGAGGGACTAACTAGGTTTCTACCACAGACGTTGGACGTAGGAGTCCCATACTGTTCTAGAAATCAAGCAAGTGGTACTATTGATGAAAGCAATGAAATACGATAAATGTGTGTCAACTGGGGCCTAGATTATGATGCCCTCGGTCTGAAAGGATGCGTACAAGATGTTGACAAAGAAGATGAAGACAGTGACAATGAAATAGTGCTAGACAATGACGATAATGGCGAATGAAAATTGTTATTTATTTCTTGAGGTATATTTTAAATTGTTGTATTGAATCTTTAATGCTAAATATCAAGTAGATTTAATCCTATTGGAAACATAATTTTTTTTTCTGAAATTTTGCAAACTAGTCATTTACAGAAATTTTGTACAATAAAAATACTCCAATAAAACACTACGTTTATCCCTGATAATTTGGCACATTGGATGAACTGCCGCCTAGAGCTGAATTACCACCGCTTCCCAAACCATCTGAAGGACATTTATGACGGTCGTGTCCTGATTGGGAACACATGCCACATTAACGCGCATAAACGGTATCACCAACATCCATCTGGTTTCGTATCCGCGTTCTTTTTTGCACTTGCCATTGACGCACATAATTCATGTTACACATCATTTTAAATGTTTCCGGCAGCCAATAATGCTCAGCACCCACTGGCTGCAACTGACCACTATAGGTGTTTACGTATGCACCAACACTATATTCTTTATCAACGTACCTCGTTGCTGCGAAACCTGTATGTTGAAAGCACTTCATGGCATGTGAGCATGGAAAGTGATAGATTGATCATTTTCCACAAGAGCATAATATTCTGGATTTATTGATGTTGTGTGTATTATTCACGCGGTTGTTATGCAGACCAGTGCAAACTTCAAAAATATTTCGCTCGCTGCAATACTGTAAAAGTGTATGCCACTGTGCTTGCTTCTTATATTTCTGTAATGACCTGACTAGTTATTTTGAGAGAATTAGCCTCGAACCCCTATTTATTGCCTCCTCTATTTCGTTCCGTGGTTACGTGACTTGCCGGAAGGTTTGGTTTTTGGTTTCGGAGTGAATCGGGACATGTAGTCCCTAAAATTGAAGTTTAAGTCATAATAATTTACTATAGTTTGATTTATGTAAAGACGACTTCATAATGAGGTTTTAACAGTTTCAATAGCTCTATAGGGTGGTTTTGGTCTTCGAAGCATGTCTGAATGATGATTTGGAGGTCCGTAGGTCATTTCGGCATTGATTGGCGAAAGTTGGAAAATTGGATGATTTTTAAAAAGTTTGACCGAGAGTGGACTTTTGATATCGAGGCCGGATTCCGATTTCGGAAGTTTGAGTAGGTCTGTAATGTTAATTGTGACATATGTGCAAAATTTGAGGTCAATCGGACTTGATTTCATAAGTTTCGGCATCAGATATAGAAGTTAGAAGTTCTAAAGTTCATTAGGCTCGAATCGATATGCAATT